CTTGGTACCTAGCATGCACCAATGTTTATGAATTGCAAATATTTGTGAGTGAATAAGTTGCATCTAATGTTCTCAGAGAACGAGCCCTCTTACTGTGAAATTTCGTCACACGACAAGTAACGCGCCGATTAAACGTTCAAGATCAAGCAATCCTCGTGATAAAAGTTCATTCATGAAAACCATGGCCGAGATCACTGACAGATATACTAATAGTCATCTTGAAAAATTCAGCACCAGTCAAGCGTCTTAACTGCTGAGCGGCTGATCAATTGAGCATCCTATCACCGTACCATATTATGCTTTGAGTCTTCCGTAGATCCGAGCACATAACCGCGGCTTAGGATTTGATATATTCATTGAAAAGAGACTGCGTTCATCATCAAATGCTCTAGCATACACGAGTTGACTACCACTGTTGTCCGCCATCTTGAGTTACTGGGCCTAAGCTTGACCGCTGCGTGACATATTTGACAGACAAACCTACCACGCGTAGTACCGTCGAGGTACCACACTTTTATTGTGCAACAGAGGTATCAAAATTACCAATATAACCTGAACGGAAGGATGATTCACGGATTGGGATGCGGTTTTGATTAGGAAAGCTGACAATGTAAAGCACAAATTATGAAAACGAATTCAACAACAGCAAATGGGGCAAAGGCAGTAAGTGAAGAAAAAAATACAGTTAAGTGAAGTTCTACTCTCCGTGCCACTAAAATATTGAAAGCTACTTTTATAACGATTTGCCTGGTGCGAGGAACAGCGTGCCTGTAGGTAGCAAATGATTTGGACTCGAATTCCAAGTGCTCGTACTTATACTACCATGTCAACTACTTGAGAATACACATCCTTGAGTTACGATGAGCCTGTGTTCCTGATACACTTCCACCCCCAAGAACCGCAAGGCAAAACGCGCCTTTCCTTCTCATACAATTGGCACAAACTTCGTATTAATCTTCAGCCCAGGCGAAAAATATGTCATTTTTGAAGGGACGGTCAACTTGCTGACCAAAAAATTTGCATCACAATTTCAGAAACGAAAAAGTAAAACTCATCCTCTTTTTTTAGCCATTTTGAATAAAGATCGAAAAGCACGGAAAGTGTTTCTAAGCCCCACTAATTTAATGGCAAATCCAATTTTAGATTAACTAATAGGCTTTATCCGTTGCCAGATTAAACCCTAATTTACGGATATACGAATTATCAATAAAAAACTAAACAGTCGGATTACGATTGAAGAGAGAAACGGCTCACCGATGCTACAGCAGTAGGCACCATTGCTACTGTATTGCTGTTAGTAGCGGTGACGACACTGGGAGCAGTGATGGAAGACCCACTTCGCAAACAATTCTCCTTGCCGGTGCGGCACAAGGGGGCAGGGCTGGCGCCGTAGGCTCTTGGCCCAAGTCCTGCTCCACTAGTTGTCAAGGTGACTGATCCAGCACCCCCCATTGCAGAAGTAACACTAGTGGCTAAACCCGTTGCAAAGTCTGCCAAAAGGAGAAAATCAGTCGAATAATTAGTAACAACAAGTCGAAACTCAGGAATGGGAATGAAGCCACATGGTGACTTGACAGAGATGGAACTCAAAGCTATACTCTGATTAGACTCTAACATCCTTGTGAAACACGGTAACAAACAACGAATCTCTATGGGCGCTATTAAAATACCCAAACTTCCATCTGCTTGGGAAAAAATTGGAAAAAATCAAGTCAATACCAGGAGATGAAGTTAGAGGATGGTACGGGGAAGGTGAGGTAGCAGAAGGACCAGTGATAGGTTTTAGGCCACCAGAAAGGCTCTCATTTTTGGTCTTGCTGTTGAGCGAAAATTGCGAAGGCAGTAGTGTCGGGAGCGGTGGTTGCTTATCGGCCATATAGGAGGGCATCACCGTGATCCCCGTCGACTTAAGCCGCTGTTGCCAGGACCGCGTGTAGGACTCAGAGATTTGGCGATTCAACCAGGAGATTACTGCAACCGAGAAGCGGGGTAAGTTGTGTGGTTACTCACAAACGGCTGGTACACATTTAATTCCTTTGTAGACGAAAAATGACTCGAAGATTTATAATGCCAAATAGGAAGGGTTGATCCAAATACAGAAATGTATAGTCGGAAAGAGGTATAACAGAAAAGAGTTAGATGTTATCCGAGTAGGGTGGTGATCCATCAAAACCATACGAAATGAGACTAACTGCAATGAATGTGCCCCCTTGAGGTGTAGTAGAGCAGTTGCAAAGGGTGGGAATTATTTCACAAGAAAAAAAATTTTCGTTACCCAACCGCAGAAGTTGAGCAGTGGAACATTTAAACCACTCATTGGGATGGTGAAACATGAAATTCCAGATTTATTTAGCCACCGAGTTAGAGAATTCGGCGCTCCACCTGTTCTTGATACAGTTTAATCAAATCAAATTACCAACGACGCGTAATCAAATGCACATTCTAGATCATAACAACCACCTTTCCAATCGTCATTATAGGGAGAAAAATTTGTTAAATATAGAAGCAGCCTCGAGTCTCTCACCAGAAAAGCAAATGATGCCTGGGATTGAGGAACTTCAGAGGGTGTTCAGACAAAAAACAGACCAAGAAACCTCAAACAGAGAAAAGTACATTTCTCTTGTCCACACATTACCCAGACTTTTTGTTTGCCAATGATGAGTAATTAAGATGCATACAGTTTAGAGATTTCATACTTCTGAGACTCTTCATAAAACAAGTGGTAATTACAAAGCTTACTATTTTCATTATTTTCAATGGTCTTTTTGGCCTCCTCGAGGGAAGCCTGCAGCCGACTGATTTGGATCTCGCCCTGCTCACGTCGTCCCTCTTCGGCTTGCAGGCGATCGCGCAGATCCTGCAGTGCTGTCTGTACCTCCTCCAGCTCAGATTCCTTTGCAGTTAGCACCTTCTCTTGTTCCGTTGCAACCTGACCGCGTAGTTTTGCCTTGAGGGAAAAGAAATCGTCCTTAGCACTCGTCTGGGATCAATTGAAATCAGCACCAGTTGCCGTTCGAATTTCTTGATTTATACGTCGGGCCCGAACTAGCAATCATAAGAGCCGGCGTAAAATACGAAAATCATGGTTCCTTACTGATGTTGCCCTTATCGCCTCATTAACATTAACTCAAAAAACGCTATGAATTAAGAAGGAATGGACCTAGATGAAGTTAATGGCACAAACAGCTAGGGTCAACTCACTACCAGCCATCACTTGCATGTTTTGACTTTCATTCACCGAACTAACACCTTGGTGGTTAAGTTAACTAGAACGGATCAACGATCACGAAAGGGAAGACGCAAAATGCGAAACGAGTGGTTCAACCCTCGCATCATCGACATCTTAACAGTGAATGGGCCATACTACCTTGAACCATCATTGGCCAGCATTCCTTTTTGTAGGGGTTCCTATGAGTAAATTATTTCCTAAATCATAGGAGAGGAGGATGTAAAGCAGGGAGTTCATGAGTTTTTACACTTTATTTTCCAAGTCTAAACTCGGACTATGGTAATGGAACTGGTGCGATGCAATCATGTTGGTAAAAGAGATTTTAAAGAAAACAAGCATGGAAAAATGATAGGATCAAACACTTTTAAACAATGTACTAATAGCCAAAAACTGCTCTCATACTTTGCAGTTCCACAGGCAAACTTGATGCCTCGATTATTGCTGACGGGCCAGGTCAGTTAGCGAATACAAAGAGCGGAGAAGATATGGCCTTCTCGCTTTTACACCACTAATATATTCATATAACTGAATAGGAATACCGTTTAACTAACAAACTGCACCGGACTATAACCAGCGATGTTCCTCTAGGAAGAACCAATCATAATTGGACATTGACAGCTTGAGTTATCAATAAGAATGTAAACATTTACAGAGGGGGAGGTGAAATAACTGACTTTTGTATCATTACCTTTGTAAAGACAAAAACAAACATTGCTGCCTCCAAAACTATGACCAACTTCTGAGAGCAAACTTGAGGATGGAGTGATATGTCTTTATGCTTCAACCATAATCGAATCAAAATGTCCTTCCACTGACCACCAACGGTCCAGGTGAACCGCATGGTACATGGTGCAATTAAATGAAGAAATAAAGCAATCCCATAAGAACAGTAACATCAAGTACATTCATGAATCGGGCAATCGACAAAGAAGGCATTGAAGGCACATTTGNGAATACATCATGAGACTAAAAA